GTGGTTTTTTAATATTCCGATTGGATTTGTTTTCAACATTCAACAATCTTCATCCTGATGTCTTATCCAAATGGGTGGCCAAAAAACAGCAACCAAAACCAGCACACGAAACTGCATGGTTAATGGTTGTAAAAACTGAAACTACCTACCTCGTGACCATCATCTTCATTCCACTCATCTCGGGCACGCGATTTGGTAATACCCGATTCCAGTTCGCCTGTATTTTCGGAGGAACCTCCCGGTCCGGATTGGTTAGTTTGCTGCTGACGTGCTAAAGCGGCCAGAGTGAAACTTCGAATCATGCTGAGTAGGAGGAAAATGGATGAATTATAAAGATGAACAGATAAATGAGAGTTCATAGTATTTGTCAGTATACTTCTGACCTACACTTCCGAACAGACCTCGATTGTAAGCTGTAATATCTTACTAAACACAGGTATTGATCGAACTCGTGCAACATGACTCTCAATTTGGAAATACATTTCAGTTTCCAGAAGCCATACTCCTATATCAGGAGATGGGTGAAGAGCATTTATCCCGAACTTTCTCAACCACTGCGCAATCTGACTTGAAAACTCCTATGCAAAACCATCGGCTGAACAGGAGGGTGGGTCACAAGGGTACGAGGCACCGAGTGCATTACTCACGTGGTTTTCCCTTGGTCCCGTAGTTCGTGATCCAATCGACGGGCCAGATCAGAGAAGAGTACTCGTTCGAGGAACCGAAGTACGCGGGTCGGTTTGATATGACTTCGTTCGGAATAGGCTGAACGAGGTAAAAGTTGGAATTCCAGAGTGCATGAATCTGACGCATAGTCCACCTTCTCACCGATGGGGAGCTTGATCGTCTGGTGTTTATGAAGTAGTCCAGAGGAGATGAAACAAGAAATAACGGATAAGTGGTAAGAAAAGGCAGTGGAATAAGAAAAAAATCATTTGCATTGATTCAATATACTGGACGGATATATATACATATATATATATATATATATGAATAGTATACAACAATGAAGGGAATCACTCACCATTCCACCTTTCGCTTTAGGTATTTACATAGGTGGTTCAGTTAGAAACACTGAATACCCTTCCTTTATCCATCGCGTTAAGACCGGAAGAAGACACGAGGGAAAATTTTTTTCTGGCTCGATGGAACAGGATTTTAGAAGTCCACGTTTGTAAACCATAGGTGAGAAACGAGAAAACTGTAAATACTGACCGCATCATGTTGCTTTTCGGTTAACAGAGCGTTACGAAGTACCACCTAAACGCCTCAATTCTAATATGCAAAAATGCTAAAGAGTGATTAGTTTCCGTTTTCGTGTGATACACATATGTGGATGAACAGAGTTAAAGTTTCAAAAGGGATTCAAAGTGTTCACGCTCTGCAACAATAAAAATATCGTCCACATAACATTTGTATAAGGTAGTGGAAGAAATTATGGGCAAGCCTTTATTCAGCATTCCTGAAAATACATCCGCTATAATTGGGACTGAAGGACTGTCCATGGCCACCCCATCAATTTGTTTGTATGTGGCTCCTTCGAATTCAGAATGACTGTTTTCAGTACAGAGAAATATGATTTTTCTTTGGTATTTAGGGGAAAAACTACCTGAAGAAATATAATCACAGAACCCATAACTGTATCATGAAAGGGAAAACTGCTGAGAAGGGAGTCAACACTTATCGAACACATCTTTTGTGACGATAATGTCATATTTTCTAAACATTTCGAAAGTTCAAATACATCTTTTAGAAAATAAGGTGTTAAAGGTTTACGGATGGGATTTAAAATGTCTATCAACCATTCAGCGAGTTTATGACATGGCGATGTCTGCATACTTAACAGAAGAGTTCCGGGCTTATGGATCTTAGGCGAGCTTCTCGTATTTGATGTATCTATTCACAGTGAGTTCCGTTGTTTGTACTGCGTTTCACATATGTGGTAACGGAAACCGCAATTTTCTTGCGGTAAGATTTTCGATGAGGTGGTTGTTAGCTGATGTCTTTTCTAATTGAAAATTGCTCTCGTCCCTCTGTATTTCCTTCGTTTTGTGTATTCAACTGTCTCTGGTCATGATCACTGTACAAGATCCCTCGTCAGGCTTCGGGAATCTGATGCCTGACATTCTTTCACTTCGTGTGCTGCTTTTATTGTTCTGTTTGTATACGTTCGTTCACTACGATTTATTCACCCAATGTGCTATATATATACCTGTCTATTTCACGTCAACGATTCGAAGATGAAATGAAATGTTAAAATCTCGCGACGTGTCTTCCTTAGGTCTTGATGCGGCACTTCGATTAGCAGACGTAAGCTGATATTGATGACCCAGAAACATGATTTAGAAGTTTTTTCACTGCACCTAAGGACCACAGCATAGGATTGCGTTAGAAGATCCTGCCAACATCGGAACCCATAACAATTAGGATTATGAAGCCGAAGTTCTGCAAGCAACCTAATCCGGTTCCAGCGCTTTTGTTACCACGACCATAAGAATGATTGCCCATATTTCTGTGACACTTCTCTCCTTCCCATTTATTGTCTTCTCGTTTTCACACGTGATTTATTTATTCCTGCCCTGTTTGCACATTTTTACTCGGCTTTTACCTATCGATTTGTCACACAGACATTATTATTATTATTATTTAGCATCCACTTACACTTGTATTAATCTACTGATTAATCGCACTATATATGTAAATGACTGGAGCGATATATCGAAAAGAAATTTCTACGCGCTTCCACTTTGTTCTTATGCAGCAATGGGAATATTTTACGATATATGAATATATTCCAGCAGTAGAACACAGCAGATGGACGTCCAAATGCAAAGATACTGCTTTACCGTAGAGGTAGCGAAAATCGACCGTGATCTTTTACCCAACATACCTCAACCAGTTTTAGTTTGTACATGCGCTTGGCAATCTGCATGCAATTTCGGCGAGCCGAAGCGCTCGGTAGGACAGGTACTTCCATACACGGAGTGCTGGTTTGAGCCGAACCGGACATTAGAATCTCTCTAAGGCGAGGGATGCCCAGGGTGACGTTCATCTCACCACGACCGGCAAAATGGAAGGTATTCAGTGTCATTTGAGTGGACGGTTCACCAACAGACTGAGCAGCCAGCAAACCCACCGGTTCTCCTGGGGGTGCTTGTGCACTAATCAGTTTCGCCAAACACAGCTGGCGTACATCAGCAGCCGTGTCACATGGTGGTGGTGGAACAAGATCGTTGTCGAGTACCTCCGATCGTGAGAGTTGTTTGTATTCTTCAGACGCTTTATTGAATGCCGCAGCTGCGCGACGTGCTTTGCGAAGCAGTTTGACGATTTTTCGATGTGGGATTGACTCCCTAATGATCTGCAACGGGAATGTAGGAATGGACGTGATAAAAGTGATAAATCCATATTATTAAAAATTAAAAACACATGAAACGAAGTAATCCAACCCAAAGGACATCGGATAACATGTGGCAGCAAGAAAAGCAATAACTGGCGTACTGTTTCACGTTGCACTCCAACCATATCAGCTAGGGTTTGAAGAGGTCGAGGCAAGGGACACTGTTCGATCAGACGTGCTCGAGATGGATCGTCCATTGTGAATGACGATGATTGCCAGCGTTGATTGAAAAGCGTAGCGTTGTCCGCGAACATATTCATACCGGCCTGTTGAAGGAAGCTAGACTGACACACATCCACTCCATCGTCACCGTATCGGAACTGGATAACATTGTTCCCGGAATCCCGTACAGTCCCGTCATACTGAATGCTAAGATCCTAAAACAATTAGGATAGAATTAACATAGACAAAATCTGATCAAGCAAGTCTCACTCGCAAAACAAAGCTACAACGAATGAGATGAAATCCGACCAAAACATTTAGATATGACAACTATTGACACTAATGCGTATTAGGGCCAGCAGGAATCGGGAGTTCTGTTCGAAAGGTGTATAATACCTTAGGTTAGATATCTTGCTCTCCCTAATAGGTCGAAGAGTTTAGCCGTCGTACAGCTGTCCTCTGCATATTCAAGTATTCTATTCCCGGGAAAATAAATTGTGGCATAGGCATCACTGAAAAATAAACGAACTAATCCATGATTTGATTAAGGACACAATGTTATCAGAATACCCTAGCAACAGGGGATCCACAGTCGAAAACCCTGGTTAGCCTTAGTCTGACCCACAAGAAAGCACGGTGATGTGTGAAGATTACACCTTTTCCCATCAAACATCAGCATTCACACGCCCTGAAATAAATCAAAAAGTTTATGCTTACCGTTTCGTATATCCACTTAAAGGGAACTCCGTTTTTGACATATGGATACATTAAAAGATCGAGGATAATGAACACTGCTCACAAAAGACCCCTTTAGTAGACCGTTTCCCAAGAAGCTATAGAAAAAAACCGGTAATAATCAAGCCTCGACTGTGGTAATTATAACTTACGTTGCATCGTTATTAAACTGATGATGGTTATGAGAGTGTAAATTTACGAATGGTTTGTTATCCTCAGCAGGTTTTTGTATCCCCATCTTATGAGCAGACTTCACTTGTTAATGCAAACCAATGTATCATTTGAGTTACACTTGAGATTTTTACTCCTAGGAGTATCGCATGTTATACAGAAACACTGAAGCTGTAAGAGATGTGTCAAACGATTTGACGATACGGGCACATCGGTTCAAGCTTCTCCAATCAACATGTGCTGCAGCATGTAACTCCCGCACCTTCTCATTTCTTAACCAAGCTTTGCAACATCAACATTTGTAGAAAATAATTTTTTTTCAACATCCGTTGATTTCAGAATATTCCGAAACCTTTTGATCTGACTCGTCTACTGCGGCGTGACTAAAGTTTGTGCGTTGGGGGCCAAAGGACTACAGATTACGGATTACGGATCAAGGCAAAAGGATTGTGGGTTTTGGCTAAAGGTATAGTTCATTTCGAACATGTATCCTTTTGATCGGGCATTGAGAAACATTTGATACAACTAGGGTATCCAAAAAGCCCTACAGCCCAATTCATGTAATAAACGTTACAATNCCTGTTGAGTCGATGGATTCGAACTGTTAATGAGACCCAACCAGATCCAAACAGCTGTCTAGTGCTGCTCAGCTTTTCAGCTCACGAAACTTCAGATCGGTACCGAAGGTATTCCAGTCTTGCGTACGCCGTTCGTAACTTGGAAATTCGGGAGGTTACTTCGCTGACCACGCTACCGTCATTTGTCACGGAACTGCTTAGGTAGGAGCAACAATCCACTACAATTAATCTTTAATCATAAAGCATCAGAACCGGATTCGACGACACCCAATCTTGTAGCATCACTTTGAACTTTGAAGGTGCAAAGCGCATACCCAATGGAGTTACAGAGCATGGAAGTCTGTCATGAGCGCTTAGCGCATGCTCCATACATCTGAACAGAAACAATGGCATCAGCGTACTCTCAATCGCATAGCTTTTTTTCACTTACCCTTTCAATGCTAACATTTCGGAGATCAATTAGTAGATTCTCTAGCATCTTGTCCACAACGAAATGCTTTTCCGCTTCTGATTTTCGAAAATCATAAGATAGCTGAATCTTATGGTGAGATCAAGACAATTCTTGGCTACGTTTGATTTGGGGCCATAAAAGCAGTTCAATTAAGGAGTATGAGTGCATTCCGCTTACCTCTAAATGCTTGATTGCTGAACGTTGTAAATATCCAGACCGACTGGTCTTGACGGCCGTGTCAACTAAACCATCTCGACCTGCCATAGAGTGGAAAAACAACTCTTGTGGTGGCAGTGAAGTCAAAAAGCGATGCGTACACATTCCACCAGCACGCGGGCGCACATCGTACGGTGGAAAAGAGGGCAAACTGCGCCCGCTTAGCATGAGTGGCACACGACGTCCTTCCAACTCGATTTGACCGAGAGCGACAGACATTTGTTGTGCATTGACCTTGGTTCGGAAAAAGTGCAATAGAACGGTGATTCGGCTATTATTCATAATACAGGTTAATGCATCATCACCAACATCATCAGCAGCGTAGGGTGAAATACAGTGAGGCGAACTTCACTGACCGCTGTCAAACTCGCAGTGCATACAATGATGGTAAAATTTAAAGTGGACAGAGATTGGACAAACTTTGAGGGAGGGAGAAGGTATACTTCTATGGTCAACACAGAGTACGCAATTAAACTCTGCATACATACCGTTTCAAGCATTCTGACCTGATACGAAATGACAAGAAGAACGCCACTGTTGTCGGTTCGCTGCCAACTTCTCCAACCAACCGGTTGTGGAGTCTTTCAGACCCCAATCTGGAAGGCGTGAGACACTTACTCTACCTAATGGCTCTGTGCATTTCTTCATGCCTCGTCTTCACATCATCTGTTGACCTCCACGTGGTCTCCTCAAGCCCGAATTAGCTACAGCGAATAAAGCGCGGTGCGACAGACGACAGCTGGGCATACGAAATACGTGCCCTGAATACAGCGTGCTACCAGGTTTATCCCTGATAAACTCCCAAACACACGACGACTTACCTCCACACTACTAACCCGTTGGCTTCATCCCACATGGGCTAAACTACGCTAACACCGATAATCGAAAACTTCCAATCGATGGATATCTTCTACTCGCAAATTCAAGGTCTCACAACCATAAGGCAGAACTGAACAAACGGTGGCACTATGTACACAACCTTTCAACTTCAGTGAAACGTCGCGTCTACGCCAAAGGTGGTCCAGTCCTGCATATGCTGCTCAAGCCTTGGAAATGCGGGCGGTTATCTTATTTGCTGCGTTACTGTCATTGGTCACGCAACTAACTAAGTAGGAAAAGTAATCCGCCATAACTATTTCCTGACCATTTAGTTTTAGAGCGGGAGTGAGTGAAACCCAGTCCTGCAGCATCACTTAGCACTCTCAAGGTGCAAAGCACATACCGAATGCGGCAACCGCACTTGTTAGTGCGCCTTGCGCGTCCTTCGTGCATTTGAACAGACAGACAATATCATTGGTGTAGTCCAAATCGCACAGTTTTTTCCAGCTGCTCATTCAATATCTACGTTTTAGAGTCCGCTCAATATGTTCTCCAGTATTCCGTCTACGAAGAAATTGAACAGGAATGGCGAGATAGCACCCTTGTCAAATGCCGCTACTGTTGACAAACGGCCTACTTAGTTCTTGGTAAACCCTTACAGAAAGCTAGCACTTTGGTGACGATCCGGACCAAACTTATCCCGCCATGGTTTACGCAATCGTTGCGAGATCCGTTCTTAAAAATGGGAACGATCAGTGATTTGCCCCAAGATGAAGGAATGCGCTCTTGCGTCCAAATGTTGCACAGTAGGGTAGTAATAGAGCTTACGAGGTTATCACTACCCATCTTGAAAAGAGTGGGAGGGAGCTCATCCGGTCCTGCTGCCTTTTCTCGCTTCAGAGCTTGAATGCAAGACCGGAACTTTGCTTTTGCTGGAGGATTCCATGACACTGCCCACGGAGCTTCAGTTGCAGGTAAATCAACCTGGTTAGCACTAGGCCAGCTGAACTGTTCGCTGAAGTATTCCACCCAGCGATCAAGTCGTTCACCCCTATTGTGAATAGCTTGTCCCATCTTATTGCAGACTGCTTCACTAACTGGAGTTCGCCGACCTCCCGTATTGCGGCGTATCAGTCGGAACAGTCTTTGACTATTCCATGACGCAGCTGCTACTTCCATTTCACTAGCTATTGTTGACCACCAGTTCTCATGGTCCTTCTTGAGCTGACGTTGTAGATGCCACCTGACTCTATCCTGGCAGATCGGGATTTGACGCTTTTTCTCCATCAAAACTATTGGCTCCCGAAATATCCAATGCCCCCGACGGGCTTGAGGCTCAGATTCACAAGCAACATTGGCTGCGGAATGCATTGCTCGCCTAATCTGATCCCACTGCTCATCTACATCATCACGTTGAGATGCGCTTAGCTCACGCACTAGCTCTGACTCATACAGTGCACCAACTCCTGGAACAGATAGTCGATGTTCGGCTATACGAGTCTGTTGATGCAGAGCGTGGCTTAACGAGATCAGAATGCGTCCCACCAATGAAAACATTGTCTCAGCTCAAGCGGGTGGTACCAACTTACTGANCGAGCCACGATCGCGATGAAGCTTTGTGATCCAATTAACCAAAGATCACCCTCTCCTACAACTATCCCGTTTCGATGATCACATAATAGACGCGGCTTACAGTTAAAGAGTTAAACCCCGTGATCAAAGGATATACTGCATTCAAACAAGGAAAACACGCACGATAAGTTTAGCTTGATGATTCTTGATGCAAACAGTCGACAGTTGTAGCCGTGAAGAAAAGCAGTTTGACTTGTATTCATTCGAATTATTCGTCTTGAGATCCCATACGGGGAGACGGGAATATCCGATGGGTGCAAACCCTGTAGTGAGTGATGGTAGATGAAAAACTGACTGGAAATCCGGTTTTTCTTTCAGTCAACTTTTGCGGGCAAAAACAAGTGAACAACTGATATCCACCAGACACGATCCCATCATCCAACTTCGGCGAAAGAGATGCTCTTACTAGCTACTTGATCATTGTTTTCAACTCCCAGAACTCGGAGTCTGGATTGGGATGCGGCTAGCATGTTTCTGGTAACAGATGTGAGCAAGGTCTCGAAGATAACTGTGGNGGTCAAAAACATCTAAGCGACGTGTCTTCTGAGTGTGGTGGTCATGGCTCGTTTCAATAAAGAGTGAAAGCACGTGGTGTGGTAAACATTGTCTTTCACAAGAGGCGGAACATGTTGCCTGAGTCCAAAGGAGTTTAGGGTGCAGAAGGATGAGAAAGACTTTCAACTCCTCTGCACGTTTGTCCTTGTCATTCTGGTTGCGATAAACTACCGAGTTACACGGTTTTTTACCACTTATAGGAAGTGGTTTCCAAAGTGAGTGCAAGATTTATGTCCTGCTAGTTTGGCAGGTGAAGTCAACATCCGTTGGGCGCATAAAAACCAAGTCAACGGGTAACGGTGAACGTCAGCTTTTTAACGGCATTATGTGCTGATCAAAGACCCCCAGGCAGTCAGTGCACACAAAACGACAGTCTGTGTATTCAGACAGATTCGACCCTTCATTAGACGGCTCGATATCATTGATGACGATGTCGAAGAAGAATGGCGAAATAAGGCATCTTTGGTGGACACCAAGCACAACAGAAATTGACTATAAATTCCGTTGATAAACTCTCACCTGAACAGGTGTTTGATGATCAACTCATTGAAGGGAGAGTGCACCTGCTTAATTAATTCCTGAGGGATAACCAAATGCTCATCGGACATCGAGGAGTATGATCAACTTGGGATGTTGATAGGTACGGTGTCGTTCAGGCAATTAGTGATATATAATAAAACGGACGAAGGGAGCTAGTCTGCAGTTTTTTGAGCTTCTTAGGCACGGGGATAGCATGAAGAGTATGATGATAGTTAATAGTTTTTACGTGTGATTATGTCTCTGTGTAGTTTTGGGTTAAGGGTTTGAACTGAGAAACCTAAAGCTCGCAGTTGAAGTCCCGAATGGGAAGACGTGCACAGTCAACGAGCCCCAAAAAGGACGAAACAGCTGTTTAACGCTTGTTTTAATCATTACACAAAACATTAATGTCGCAAGTGGAAAAACAGCATTTTTAAAACGACAAGAGCGGCCGTCAATGTGGGTCTTCAAATAGAAGGGAATTGAGAAACAGAAGGTAATAGACGAAAGAAAACACGAAAAGGTTAGTGAGGCAAACGCCTGACGATGGACTGACGATTGCCAGCCGATCATCAGGAAGGATAAGACCAACTATTTCTTATGGGCTCCGATTTTTCAGAGGGTACACTAAAGCACCCAAATGTGTGTGTGGGGGG